TTACTTTCTTTTTGCCAGTCCTGGGGCCTGAACTCTGGGCCTGGGCACTGTCTCTGAGCTTCTTTTGCTCAAGACTAGCACTCTACTCCTTGAGTCACAACACCACTTCTGGGGTTTTCTGCTTATGTGGAACTGAGAATTCTAACCCAGGGCTTCAGGCATGAAAGGCAAGCCCTCTACCACTAAGCTACATCCCCAGTCCTATACTCCAACTTTCTATCCAGTCTACATAGAGCACCCTTGTCCAGCAGCACTTCTTGCTTACTTTATCGCAGCTGTGGCACCATTAGATCTTACTCCTAGTTTGTGCCTGTACTACCTGACCTGTAATCTACTCCATAGGTGAAGAGCAGGATAATAGCTGGGCCCGGTGGAACATGCCTGTCATCCCAGCGACCTTTGGGAGCCTAAAATAGGAGGATCTCAGTCCAGATCAGCCTGCGTTAAAGCAAAAACGAACAAGCAAAAACCCTCTTTTCAACTGCAATAGAGCTAAAAGAGCTGTTCAAGCAGTACAGTGCCTGGTGCCTGCCAGTCAAATATAAAGTCATGAATACAGACCCCCAACACTGCCAAAAATATTTACCTTTCTGGTTAGTTTTGAAATGAATAACGACCCAAGAAATCTCTGTCATTACACGGACAATTCGTCTTCATGTTCCAGTAGACTACCTTAGGACGTCTGGAAGTTCTGCTCCCAGTTGCACACTTACGACTACCCTGAAAAGGTCTCCCGTCGACGTCCAAACTCGTGGAAGGGAGTCTGTGTGGCCTACCTCCCCTTCTGCTACCCGCAAAGGCACAGCCGCAGGTGGACAAGGCCACAGGCGGCGGCCTGGCGCCTGCAGGATGTCCTACACCCGCCATCTGCCCCGCAGCCCCAGCCGATCCTCCCCAAGGACACCCGCAAGGGTGACAGAGAAAGACAAAAGAGGCCATCTTGAAACGGCCTCGGCAACGGAGGAGATGGGTTTGTGCCAGATGGCTTTTTCCAGGTCTCTCCCCCCGTCCGTGTAACCCCGGAGCCAGCCTCCTTTCAAGAGCCCCCCCCCCACCTCCCCGTGGAGATTTCCTCTGAAGCCCCGGGGCCACACACGCTGCACACACGGAGCCATGTTGGCTTTCTGCAGAAACGCGGCCCCTGGTCCCCGGGGACAGAAGGGCGCGCGCCCCCGGCTCCGAGTCCCCGCTCCCCGGTGTTTCTGCCCGCAGACTTCGAGTGATTCTTTCTTTCGTATGCCCACACCTACTTCTACCTCACCCACTCGGTGGGTGAGCCCGCCGGCGTCCCCGCCTCGGCCGCGGGGGAGAGGGGGCGGGAAAAACGGGGAGGCGGTCACGTGGCCCGCGCGCGCGCCACCGAGAGGGGCGGAGCTCAGAGGGTGCACGGTGCTGATTGGTCGGGACGTGTCTGACGCAAACTCCCGCTATAAATACCACACGGCCGGGCTGCTAGCGCCAGACGATCCTCGCCGAGAGTCGCCGCGGTTTCCTGCTTCAACAGTGCTTGAACGGAACCCGGCGCTCGACCCCTCCACCTCTCCCATCCCAGCCGCCCGCTCCGAGCCACCAACCTCCCGCCGCCTCTTCACCGCGTCCTCGGACCGCCCCCGGGCCTCCGCCGCCACTCCAGCGCCGCGCCGCTGCTCCGTCTCTCCTAGCCGCCGCCATGACGACCGCATCCCCTTCGCAGGTGCGCCAGAACTACCACCAGGACTCCGAGGCCGCCATCAACCGCCAGATCAACCTGGAGCTCTACGCCTCCTATGTCTACCTGTCCATGGTGAGCGCGGGCGACGCGGGGACCCGGCCGAGGCCGCACCCGCCCTTTCCCCGGGCCCGCTGGGGACCAGGCGGGGTGGGGGTGTGGCCAGACGCAGGCCCGGGCGCCCTCTGGGTAAGAAAATGGAGGCTTCCCCGGCCCGGCAAGTCTCGGGGCGATCGGTGCTTTCCGCCTGTCCCCTAGGAGGACTCCCTCAGGCTAGACCCGTTTCTGCACACTTTTCTCCAAAGAGAGCCTGGTTTCCGAAACCCCACAATTGCACCGCTTTCCCTTTCGCCTCCCTTTACGTTCAACTTTGTGGTTAGGTTAGGAAGTTGGATTTTGTACTCTTGGACCCGGTTATTTTTCTGGTCGCCCTTAGGCCCTCTTGTCTTGTTTGGATATCCAGCTCCCATCCCCCCCACCCTCCCCGAGTATGGCAAGGACTGCTGGGTAATGGTGGCCAATAGCAACTTCTGGGGGCTGGTGGGAGGTGGTTTATCTCTTGTGTGCTTGCTTATCCGACCCTCCTGAGCAACAGTCCCTACCTCTGCTCCACTTATCTCTTAGACTCACTTTGTGTGGAGGCCTTATCTCTAGAAATCTCTCTGTTACCAAAGTGCCACCATCCTTGCACTTTGGGGTACCTCTTTATCGTTTAGTTGCATGAGAGTGTTGGGGTTGTGGCTCCCTAGTTATCGAAACCCATACTTCAGACATGTTCTAATGGATCTGATACAAGTCTGGGTTTCTGTAACTGACATTGCTTCACAAAAATACCAAAAAAAAAAAGTTGAAGATTGAAAGTCAAGTTTTTGCTTTTTTCTTAAGTTACAACATAGCACCCCCAACGGGAGAATAATTTAAATCAGCAAGCTTCCTGTATACATGGCAGTCTGATGAACTCATTTTAACCATGTTTTAGTATAGTCAGGGTGGAGAGTTAAACTGGACAAAACAGTGCAGGGTGAATGCCCCAGCATCCTCCCTTCAGACAATGAAATTTGGCCCTGCCATAAGAAGTTTGTTCTGAAAGAGTACAGATCCGTAAGACACTGCTGATGGCAATTCCCATGATGCTGTAAAAGTTCCTTGAAGCAGTAACCTTTGAAGATCAAGTTCAGTTCTCTATTTCAGAATGAAAGTAAACTGGTGTTGTGTTCACTATAGGAACAAAACCATCCACAGTCTTCTTACTTTAAGGAAATGCTGAGGGCCGGGGGTGCAAGCACTTACCTATTAAGCACAAGGTCCTGAGTTCAAACACGACTGCCATGAGAAAGGCAGGCTGTCAGCCATTACTATTCATGGTTGAGCCCAGCTGCCTCCTTATAGGACCTTCCAATACCTAAATGTGTTCCTGTTCTGCTCTCAGTCTTACTACTTTGACCGAGATGATGTGGCTTTGAAGAACTTTGCCAAGTATTTCCTTCACCAATCTCATGAGGAGAGAGAGCATGCAGAGAAACTGATGAAGCTGCAGAACCAGCGAGGTGGCCGCATCTTCCTGCAGGATGTCAAGGTGAGCAGAGGGCTGGTGGTGTGGTCTTACAAGTCAGTAGTTGCTCTTTTATGCCTACTTTCTAACGTAGGAGAATAGTAGTGAGAAAGGTATTACAGCAGACACTGTTGCTTTGAGAAACTTAATCTTAAATTGGCTTAACTTCCTCTCATTCAGAAACCAGACCGTGATGACTGGGAAAGCGGGCTGAATGCGATGGAGTGTGCGCTGCACTTGGAAAAAAGTGTGAATCAGTCACTACTGGAACTGCACAAACTGGCCACTGACAAAAATGACCCCCACGTGAGTATTGGGAAACCTAGGGGGTACACAGAGGTAATTGTTTGCCATGGTGGCTGGGAAAGCAGATGACTACTCATTCTTCCTCGGTCCTTTTTTTTTGTAGTTGTGTGACTTCATTGAGACTCATTACCTGAATGAGCAGGTGAAATCCATCAAAGAATTGGGTGACCATGTCACCAACTTGCGCAAGATGGGAGCCCCTGAATCTGGCATGGCAGAGTATCTCTTTGACAAGCACACTCTGGGAGAAAGTGATGAGAGCTAAGCCTTGGGCTGATTGCCCCAAAGCCACACGTGACTTCTGGTCACCAGGGCAGTGCATGCATGTTTGGGGTTATCATTACCTTTTCTATAAGTTGTACCAGAACATCCTAAGTTCTTTTAATTTGTACCATTCCTTCAAATAAAGAAATTTGGTACCTAGCTGTTGTGTTTGTGAAATCTGTTTTGTTAAACTTCTTAGTTTAGGAACAATACCAGGTTATAGGTGTGTAAAGTTCACTTAAGACTCCTGCTTCTGAATTAATTGTTCTGAGCTACTTATTTACAGGTACTCATTCCAGCTTAGCTTACATTTTGTTACTGCTGTTGAGGCATTTAGAGGCTGAAGTAGTTACTTAATTTTATTATAACCCTTTAATTCAGACTGATTGGGAACATAATCTTCTGTGTCGGTAGTTGTATGTCTGCACAACCAGATCAGAGTTCAGTGGCATGCACACTGGCAACCAGGTATGCCCCTTAACAAGCATTTAGGTACAGGCTTCATCCCTGTGGAAGATGTAAGAAAGCTGTGAGATTTTTTTTGGGGGGGGGGTGGTTGGTCCTAGGGCTTGAACTCAGGGCCCGGGTGCTATCCCTGGGAGCGTCCTGCTCAAATCTAACATTTCACACTTGGGCCATTCTGGCTTTTTCTGGGTAGTTAGTTCACTGGAGATAATAGTCTCATGGACTTTCCCACCAGTGTTGGCTTCAAACAGCAATCGTAAAATCTGACTCCTGAATAGTTACTACAGATATGAGCCACTGGCGCCCAACAAAGTTAATTTTGTAGAAAAGCTGAGGCAGATTTTGGGCCATCTTTCTTATTCTAGTTGGGATAGTCTAGCCCAAGAAGAACTGAAATTGTTACCCTATGTTACCCTTTGCGTTTCAATCACAAGCCGGGTGTTGTGACCACAAAAATAGCTTACAGATGTAGAAATGGGAAGTCACACTTCCCATACTGTGATTAGAATGGGGTAGAGTTTCTCATTGGGCAGAGAAGTCTAGAATTGGGAACTCTTGACAGCTGGAGGCTTAAGGAAATAGTAAAGTTTTAGAAGTATGGGCAGGATTCCTAAAGCATTAATAAAATAATCCCTACCACCTGCCTGCCTTGCTTCCGGACTGGATTACTTTCCCACCTTGAAGACTAACAAGAGTCACCATCACTTAGACCCTTGGGTACAGTGCATAGAGTCCCAGGCCATTCTGCACAAAATATAAAGAGGGCCCTTTGATAACATTGGCCCACCTGAATCTGGTCTGTCACTTTGGGGCTTCCAGGGGAGTGGTGATAAGATCTTGGGTAGAGTAAACACACCCTCCTAAGTCCATAGTGTGAGGGACCTATGTACCATGCCAGACAACTGGAGGAAGGTTGTTCACAGAGGGGAATGCAATCAACCTGCTTTGGGAGGACATACCTGTTCTCCAAGGCTGAGAAGGGATCTGTGTGATCTTTGAGTATAGTGTGTCGATTTCTTGGTGATTGCTCCAGAAAAGGGTCTCTGAGGTAATTCTTGGGGATCTCTGGCATATGGTTTAGATTAAACTCCACAGTTTTTTTCCTCATGTGACCTTGGTGCGCCATCAAAGTCTCATCATCTGGGAGCAATTCAAAACTTTCCTTGGCCTCAGAAGTCACAGGATTTAAAAGGCTTTGGTCTTCTGTGTCTGTGCCTGCCATACTGTGAAGCCTCAAGGGTACTGATGGCTCTGGGGGAAAGACAATGGGGGTGTGGCTGAGGGGTGTCTGAGGGGCACTGTGGTAGCCTGGCCTCTCATAGAATGAGGCCGCTTTGAGCGCATCCACCCCCTTAAGTCTCCAAGCTTTGCTGTCTTCTTGTCCCCTCGGATGTTGCTTGGCATTGGTGGGCCGGCCCTCCAGGTACGATTCCTTCCTGGACCTTAGTAGCTTGCTCTTGGAGTCTGTCCTGGGAAGACAGTGGTCATGGGACTGCAGCCCTAGGAAGCAGCCAATGATGTCATTGTGCGTGTCCTCCTGGTTTGGCTGAAACTCCATCTCTTCTTTCGGCAGGCTGGCAATAAAAAGAAACGGAGACAGTCAGGTCTGAGTGGGTAGACAAAAGCTGACCTTCCCTCCCTGGGTCTGGAGCCAAAGCCACCCATGCATGTGTGCATGAGCAAATGTGTGTGTGTGTGTGTAATTACTGTTTCACTCAAGACCAGTGTTCTACCACTTGAGCTACAGCTCTGCTTCTGGCTTTTTAGTAGTTCGTCAGAGATCATTTTCACAAACTTTACTGTCCTAGCTAACTTCAAACTACAATCCTCAGATCTCAGCCCCCTGAGTAGCTAGGATTATTGGCATGAGCCACCAGCACCTGGCTCTGTCTTCTTCCAATGAATGGCCCAACTCTCCCTTGACATCCCCGCAACTCCTTCCAGGCCCACTTCTCTCACTATTCTGTCTCCTTCTTGCCCACTGTTAACTTCCAACTCCCCAGCTTGGCATGTAAGAGTTTCTTCCTGCTAAAACCTCTAACCCCAGGCAAGAGGAACTCCTGGTCCCCCTGGGCCATTCACAGTAGGTCCAAGAGTGACAATCTCTTGAGCAAGACAAAGGGATTTGTGGTTCCTCAAGGGATTTTTTTTGGGGGGGGTCTGGTCATGGGGCCTGAACTCGGCCTGGGCGCTGTCCCTCAGCTCTTCAGCTCAAGGCTAGCACTTGAGCTACAGCACCACTTCTGGCTTTTTTCTTATGTGGTGCTGAGGAATCGAACCCAGGGCCTTGAGCATGCAAGGCAAGTACTCTACCACTGAGCCACCTTCCCAGCCCCTCCTCAAGGGATTTTTAGAAGCAACACCTGCCAAGAAAGACATTTGGCTTCTTCGCAGCAGACCTGCTGTGGCCCCAAGACCTTCCCTCTGCAAGAGAGAGCTCACCTACTCCAGAGCGGCCGGCCCTTGCCCACCTCCAAGTCCTCTGTGCTCCAAGGCCTAACTTTAGGCTCAGGAGGCCTCCCACCCACCCAAAGGCAATCTCCATTCTCCATCCTGTCCCTAGCATTCTCTTTTCTATGCCTTGTTCCCAGAGTTTGAGGCCTTGAGTATTACTACACACTTGTGTGTTCCTTGCAGGCAACATCTATGCACTGTTTATTCTGTCATCTACCCTCCCCACCCTAACCTTCAAATGTGGGGGTGCAGACAATGGAAGGCTCCAAGGCAACCTGCAGAAATGTTTCTGACCTAAGCAAACTGAAATGGGACTTGGCAGAGGAAATTGGGTCAGTACTGGGGCCTGAACTCAGGGCCCAAGCACCGTTTCTTAGCTTTTTCACTCAAGGCTATTGGTACTCTACCACTTGAACCGCAACTCCAATTCCAGCTCTTTGGTGGCTAGAGAGAAGGGTCTTACGGACTTTCCTATCTAGGCTGGCTTTGAACTGCAATCCTCAGATATCAGTCTCCTAAGGAGCTAGGATCATAGACACAAGCCACCAGTGTCTGGCTTGCAAAGTGTACCTAGGAGGTGCTGAATGGCCCCGCTCCTGTTAAGCTCCCAGTTTGTCAGAAAGCAAAGATCAGGACAGAGTCAGGGAACAGGTTCTAAGCTCCCACTGGGTGCTCAGCTGCCCTTGAGCATGTCTCTTTTCTCTCTGGGCCTCAGTTGTGGTATAAGAATGCAATGGTTGGGGCTGGGAAGGTGGCTCAGTGGTAGAGCACTTGCCTTGCATGCATGAGGCCCTGGGTTCTATTCCTTAGCACCACATAAGCAAAAAGGAAAAAGCTGGAAGTGGTGCTGTGGCTCAAGTGGTAGAGTGCTAGCCTTGAGCTGAAGAGCTGAGGGACAGCGCCCAGGCCCAGAGTTCAGGCCCCATGACCGGACCAAAAAAAGAATGCAATGGTTGCAGGGCGTGGTGGCTCAGGCCTGTAATCCTAGCTACTCAGGAGGCTAAGATCTGAGGATCATGGTTCAAAGTCAGCTCAGGCAGAAAAGGCCATGAGATTCTTATCTCCAATAAGCCACTCAGAAAACTGGAAGTGGTGCTGTGGCTCAAGTGGAATAGTGCTAGCCTTGAGCTGAAGAGCTGAGACACAGCACCCAGGCTCAGAGTTCAAGCCCCATGACCGACAAAAGAAAAAAAAAATGCGATGGTGGGACTGGGAATGTGGCTTAGTGGTAGAGTGCCTGTCTAGCATACTGAAGCCCTAAGTTCGATTCCTCAGTACCACATAAACAGAAAAAGGCAGAAGTGGTGTTGTGGCTCAAGTGGTGGAGTGCTAGCTTTGAGCAAAAGATGCTCAAGGACAGTGCCCAGGCTGTGAGTTCAAGCCCCAGGACTGGCAAAAAAAAAAAAAAAAGAATGTGATGGTAGAGGCAGACATACCGGGCTCAAATGTGCCCTTTGCTAGCTATGTGGCTTTGGACCAGACAACTTAGCTAACCTCTTTGAACTTGTACCTAATTGTCTGAAAACTGGAGATAACAAACTAGCATAATTGGGCAGGAAAAACAAAGACATGTTTCTAAAGAGCCTCCTATATTGCCTGGCCCTTAGTAGGCATCTTAACTATATATTATTAACAAAGGCTATTCTAAGTTGCTAAGCAACCTGCACCTCAGGGATTTCCCACCCAAGTTTCTGGCACAGCTCACCTGATATTGAAGGTAGAACCCAAAAAGGAAGGTTGGCGTGACTGAGCAGAGGCAGCCGTGTAGGGGGGATGAGGTTCCATCTCATTCCAGTACATGTCCCGTTCCAAAGGAGGCAAGTCCTGGTGCATTTCATCCACAGACAACAAGGACACCTGGTCTCCAGAGACAGAGGGGGCAATCCAATAGACAGTTCAGCCTGGGCAGTACCATGCACTTACCTATGACTTAGTGAAGTTACTTTTCTTTCCCCCCCTCTGTGGATCTACCTCAACAGATGCTTCCTTCTATCCTCAGAAGTGGAGATGAGCCTAACAGTGACTCACACCTGTAATCCTAGCTACTTGGAAACTTGATATTGAGAGGATCGTGTTTCCAGGCCAGCCTGGGCAGAAAAGTTCACAGAAATCCCCCATCTCAACCAAGAAGAAAACTGGGTGCAGTGGTACACGCCTGCCATCCCAGCTATGTAAGAAGCACAAATAGGAGTACTGTAGTCCAAGCCAGCCCAGGCAAAAAGTGAGACCCTACTAGAAAAACAATAAAAGCACAAAGGACTAAGGGCATGGCTCAAATAAATGGCAGGGCATCTATCTAGCAAGTGTAAAGCCTTGAGTTTAAATCTCAGTGCTAACACACACGCACACACATACACTGAGTTGAGGTGAGAATTCTGTGAGCGAATGATTGGCTATGAAGGGGGTTGGGATTGGGCACAGTTCACTATAAGGCATCCTACAGAACTGTGGGGGATCACCCTCCTCCTTGGGTCCAGCTTGGGACGGCTCCATAATGTGTCCTCCCTCCCTTCCCCCATACCTGCAAGTTCCTGTCAATGATCCAGTTGGTCTCAAAATCATCATCATCCTCTCCAAAGGGGTTGATGAGCTGCTCTGCCACCTTGGGGGACAGATGGGACCCTGGGAACCCTGAGTCAAACCTCCTGAAGCTCTGTTCCCCATTCTTTTTTTTTTTTTTTTTTTTTTTTGGTCATGGGGCTTGAACTCAGGGCCTGGGCGCTGTCCTTCAGCTCTTCAGCTCAAGGCTAGCACTCTACCACTTGAGCCACAGCGTCACTTCTGTTTTTCTGAGTGGTTTATTGGAGATAAGAGTTTCACAGCTTTTCCTGCCCAAGCTGGCTTTGAACCGTGATCCTCAGATCTCAGCCTCCTCAGTAGCTAGGATTACAGGTGTGAGCCACCAGCACCCGGCTCTGTTCCTCATTCTTAATGCTTAGAGCCTATCATCTCCACATCCGTCTGACATGGTGTCTTCAAAGCCACAGCATATGGCCAGGGGCCAGGGGCTCAGGCCTGTAATCCTAGCTACTGACTCAGGAGGCTGAGATATGAAGATCAGGGTTCACCTGGCTGTGACCACTCCAGTCAGGGTCCCGGCCTGGTGAGTGTGGGAAGGACTCACCTTCAGCCAGCCCATGTAGAAGAAGAACTGCAGGAATGTGTACAGAGGCACAATGAGGTCCATCTCATGGCCTGGGTAGGCCTTGGCTGGGTTCAGAAATTGCCGCCCCACTAGACAAGCCAGGAAAAAGCTGTACACTGCCACTGTCACCACCTGGAGGGGATGGGGGCGGGGGGGGGGGGGGAGGGGGAGAAGGCCTGAGCAGGGACTTCCCAGATTAAAGAGTTCTCAGGATGAGAGTCTTAAGCTTTGTTCTGACTTTCACCCGGTTTCTCCTCTTTAAGATGGGTACCAATGGTTCTGCCTATAATCTTAGCTACCCAAGAGGCTGGGATCCAGAGAATTACAGTGAGACTCTAGCTCCAATTAATCAGAAAAAATGCCAGACTGGCCAGGCGCTGGTGGCTCACACCTGTCATCCTAGCTACTCAGGAGGCTGAGATTGGAAGATCGAGGTTCAAAGCCAGCCTGGGCAGGAAAGTCAGTGAGTCTTATCTCCAATAAACCACCAGAAAACCACAAGTGGCGCTGTGGCTCAATTGGTAGAGCTCTCGCCTGGAGCTGAAGAGCTGAGGGACAGCGCTCAGGCCCAGAGTTCAAGCCCCATGACCAACAAAAAAAATGCCAGACTGGAGGCATGGTTAATGGCATAGCATGCCAGCTGTGAGTGAGAATGTTGAATGAACACTTAAGGCCCTCAGTTCAAACCTCAGTTACCCCCCCCCACACACACACACACAGCTCCAACACACACACACAGATGAAGATAATTAGTGTCTCTACGAGGCTGAACCAGGCAAGAACCTGAATGCTTTGGACTTGGCATGAAATAGAACCTTCACATTCCAGACACAGCTGCCAGCATGAGCTCCCTCACCCCGCCCCCAGCCTCTAGATGAGTCCACTTCCTGGGGGCTTCCTGGCCTCCATTTCCTAAAGGAACGCGCCGTCACCAGCCTAGCTCTCACCTGCGTGTACACTAGTGGGACACTGATCCAGTCATAGGCATACAGGTGTCCACACTGAGTTCTCAAGGTGCTCATCTCCTAGGGGGCAGAAAAGGAAGGAAGCATGGGGTTCTGATACTGCCTGTTCCCTCAAGCTCATCTTCAGCTCTTCCTAGTCCGGTGTTCATGGAACAAAGCTGACTTTGTTGCCACAAACTGTTCATTAACCTCCCTCTGCCAGTTTCCTTATCTAGCACCAAGGAGCCAGGATGTCACAGGCTCACATAGAGAGGCATGGAGGGGGGCATTTGGAGAAGGGCCATCTTGGGCTGTGGAATCCTGTGAGGAAAAGAGGAAGATCCTCAGGGGGGCTGCAGCTTTCTCTGTGGAGGAAATCTTGTTCTACCAGAGGCACCACCCTTCCGGCTGCATCCCAGCCCCATCTGTGTAATGGGCTCACGTTCAGCAGGCTCTGGAGCAGAATGGGGTCCCGGATTCGACCTCCAAGCCAGGCCTTCATGGACAGGTTGGCAAACCACACCCAGGGCACCCAGAACATGTTGTGTGACAGGCTCAACTTCTCCAACTGCTTGTATTCTGCATGGGTCATAAAGCCTGCAGAGAAGAGCGAAGACAGCAACAGACGGGAGGAACTGCGGAAGAGGTGACTGGCACTAAGGCCCTTCTGAGCCCATAAGGATATGTGTACTTCTTTATTATCCTCTTTCTTTTTTATATTTTTAATTAAAATTTTTAGTTATTCTAAAGATGATGTACAAAGGGGTTAACAGTTACATAAGTCAAGTGAAGAATACATTTCTTCTTCTTTTTTTTTTTTTGTAGGTCATGGATAAAGATGATGTACAAAGGGGTTAACAGTTACATAAGTCAAGTGAAGAATACATTTCTTCTTCTTTTTTTTTTTTTTGTAGGTCATGGAGCTTGAACTCTGGGCCTGAGCTCTGTCCCTCAGCAATTCAGCTCAAGGCTAGCATTCTACTGCTTGAGCTACAGCGCCACTTCCGGTTTTCTGGTGGTTTATTGGAGATAAGAATTTCACGGACTTTCCTGCCCAGGCTGACTTTGAACTGTGATCCTCAGATCTCAGCCTCCTGAGTAGCTAGGATTACAGATGTGAACCACTGGCTCCCAGCTGAGTACATTTCTTTATGGATGATGTCATCCCTTCCCTTGCTCTCACCCAGTTCTTCCCTCCCATCCCCACCCACAAGTTGTATAGTTTCATTTTTAACAGTGTCTAGTAAGTCTCACTGCTGCATTTGTTCACCCTTTGTCCCTCCATTTCTCTTCCTTCTTTCCTTCCTTCCTTCCTTCCTTCCTTCCTTCCTTCCTTCCTTCCTTCCTTCCTTCCTCTCTCCCCCTCCCTCTCTCTCTTTCTTTTTTTTCCAGTCCTAGGGCTTGAACTCAGAGCCTGGGTGTTGTCCCTGAGCTTCTTTTGCTCAAAGCTAGCACTCTACCACTTGAGCCACAGTGCCACTTCCGGCTTTTTCTGTTTATGTGGTACTGAGGAATCAAATCCAGAGCTTTAAGTATGCAAAACTAGCATTCTACCACTGAGCCACATTTCCAGCCCCTTATCCTCCATTTCCATGCACCTCCTTACCCTCCCAAAGACAGATAAATGAACGAACAAGACAAAAGGAAAAGCAAACAAAACCAGCAAATGGAAAACAAAAATCTCTTCCATTTTCTGGAGATTATTCTCTTTCTTTGAACAAATACATTGCCATCTGCTGATTTTGGCTGAGCACGAGGGTCAGGCTGTGTTAATGTCCAGAGTCAACTTAAGGCAAGGCCTCCCCAGAGATCGGAACAGAGTGAGGCAGATCCTAGACCCTCAATCCTTTCCCAAGCCCCCAGGGCTCCTTCCCTTATCACAGGAAAGTCCTTGACCCTGCTTCAAACCCTGGCCTGGCCCCACTTTCCAGCTCATGCCCCGCCCCCAGATGTTGGCCCCACCCCCTTGCCCTCCACTCAATCCTCAAATCTGAGAGGCTCTGGCTCCACCCACCGTCAGCTCCCGTTAGCCACTCAGGCTCTGGCCCCGCCCACCCACCTACTTGTGTCCCGCCCGCACAGCCTCAGCCCCGCCCGCGCGGCCACGCCCACGCGCCCACCTGCGTGCACCAGGTGCTGGAGGCTGGGGAAGCGCTTGTAGACGGCGGTGCTGACGCTGCGCAGGATGAGCGCGCTGCCCAGGTTGGCGTAGCGGATGAGTGTGCGCCGCAGCAGCCGGCCCTGCTCGTCCTTGCCCTCCACGAAGCCCGACACCTGGCTCATGAGGCGATCGAGCCACGGCACGTTCTCATACTGGTTCCACCAGCGGGTCACCACCAGCGCCACGTAAAAACCTGGGGCACGCGGGGCGAGGGGCCAGGCTGTGGCCAGAGACCGGCGCCGGCTGAGGCCTGGCTTCCTCCATCTTTCTGATGACAGCGGCCCAGCCCAGCCTTCCTGGCATGGGGAGGCAATCAAAGCCTCCTTTCCTGAAGGCCCGCAAGCCTCGGTTGCTGGGGCCCCAGAAATCCTACAGACAGCTGCCAGCTGCCGGCGGGGGCTCCAGGCTCCTCCCTTGAGCGCCAACAGCAAGACAGCCTTCCTAATACCTACCTTTACCTGAGGGACACAGAGGCACTCCTGACTCCCTCCTGCCCTCCTTTCCCAGCTCCTCCTGGTCAGCCCCAGGGTCTAGGTGGAGCCTGCAGAGGCCTAGGGCCGGGGGCCAGCCGAAGGGAGCACTCACCCAACACGAAGGAAATGGGGATGAGCTGAATGTAGCTGTCACAATGCAGAGCCAGCTTCTCAAACAGGAGCTGCTGGTCCTGGGTGAGAGCCAGCCTGGGGGCAGGGCATGGGGGTGAGTGGGCACGGTGAGGAGATGGTAGGTCCAGCTGTCCCTTCCACGAGGCCTGGACCCAGAGCCCTTCCTCTACCTGAGCCAGGACAAATGACAGCAGGTGATAAGCCGGCCCTAGTGCAATTCCTGCACAAATCCTCCTCTGACCATTGACCGAGGAGTAGAAAGATGGGCCAGCTATGGGCAACAGAGATCCTTTTTAAAAATCAAGGAGCCAGCATTCAAAATCAGGTTGAAATTGATCTGGAGAATAGTGATTCAAAGCAGAAAAGTCCATCAAACACCATCGCCAATTAACTAGCACAACTGCAAGACCAGAGGCATGTCTCAAGTGGTAGAATGCCAGCGTTGAGTGAAAAAGTTCAGGGATAGTGCCTAGACCCTGAGTTCAAGCTCCAGTACTGAGACCATAAAGAAGAAGAAGAAAGAGGAGGGGATGGGGACAGGAGGAGGAAGAAGAAGAAAGGAAGGGAGGGCCAGTAAACTGCTCTTAAAAAAAAAAAAAAAAAAAAAGCCGGGCGCTGGTGGCTCACGCCTGTAATCCTAGCTACTCAGGAGGCTGAGATCTGAGGATCGCGGTTCAAAGCCAGCCCGGGCAGGAGAGACCATGAGACTCCTAATCTCCAATAAACCACCGGAAAACCGGAAGTGGCGCTGTAGCTCAAGTGGTAGAGCGCTTGCCTTGAGCTGAAGAGCTGAGGGACAGCGCCCAGGCCCAGAGTTAAAGCCCCACGACCCACAAAAAAAAAAAAAAAACTCAGACTGGGGCTGGGAATGTGGCTTAGTGGTAGAGTGCTTGCCTAGCATGCATGAAGCCCTGAGTTCCATTCCTCAGTACCATATAAACAGAAAATGTCAGAAGTGGTGCTGTGGCTCAAGTGGTAGAGTGCTAACCTTAAGCAAAAGAAGCTCAGGACAGAGCCCAGGCCCTGAGTTCAAGCCCCAAACAAACAAACAAAACTCAGACTGGCTGAGATGGTGTGGGGTCCTATGAACTCTTGCCTGGCTGGCTTGAACCATGATCCTCTCAATCTCAACTTCCTGAATAGTGAGGAGATGGGCATGAAGCTACCCCACCAGGATGTTACTTATTTTGGTAAAAAGTCTTTCCAAAAAAAAAAATCTAGGCAGGCACTGATGCTCATGATGCTCACACCCATGACCAACAATAAAATAATAAAATAATTCTAGGTATTCGATAGTTTCCAATACATTTTAGTCATTAATATACTTTCTCACCTTAAAATGTACCATATATTCTGCAGTTGTATTCATCCTTCTCTCCTACATTTCATTGTTTAGTTTTATCAAAATATATGTGTGTATATATATATATATACATGTATGTGTGTATATATATATATATATATATCTTTGTGTGTGTGTGTGTGTGTGTGTGTGTGTGTGTACTGGTTCTGGGGCTTGAACTGAGGCCTGAGCTTTTTTTGCTCAAGGTTAGCACTTAACTACTAGACCCACAGCTCCACTTCCGGCTTTTCAGTGGGTCTTTAAAATTTATTTTATTGTTATTGTAAAGGTGATGTACAGAAGATTTAGGCTGACTTTGAACCATGATCCTCAGATCTTAGCCTCCTGAGTAGCTAGGGTTACAAGCGTGATCTACCAGCACCTAATGAAGTACATATCTATTTAAAATGCACAGTCAGAGCCTGAAAGCCTGTATGAGAGACTCATAAAATGGGCAGACCTGGTGAGACTAGCTCAAGCCTGAGGTACAGAATGCTCCCTGGTTTGGAAAAGGGCTTGAGGTGCTCCTAACCTCAAGCTCCTAACTTATCTTCCTAGTCTGATTTTTGTGTTTTGTTCTTCTTGTGTTGGGAATGTAAATCCAGGCACTGTGCATGTTCTAGGTGACACCTCAACCCTCAGTCTGACTTCTTGTCTCTCATCAGCTCTCCAAGGCTTGGCCAAGATGTCAGCGCAGCCTTATAGCTAACTGGCACTGACTGGGAGAAGCCTCAAACTTGCCCTAGCCCCCTTCCTCCCAGGCCCAGGCTGCAGCCCCACCACTCATACCTGTAGATGAAGCGGATGGCATAGTAGCAGAACAGAAAGATGAGGAACTCGCCATAGAGCAGCTTGTAGATGCTGCCCCTCCAGCACAGCAGCAGGCGCCAGAAGGAGCCCAGACGGGCATTGGCTACTTGGTTTGTATAGGTGATGGTCATGGCCAGGCACCGGGCTGCTGCGGATGCACCTGGGTCCTGGTGAACAAGCAGATGGTGACTTTGGTAGAGATCGGGAGCCAACTTCCTACCTGGGAGGCTTGTGTGACTTTGGCCAGGATCCTGCCCCGGGCCTTGACTTTGGGAGAGGAATGAGGTGGGAACCCAGGAAATCAAAGCCAGAGGCTGCCTCCCCAGCCTTGGCAGGGAAACCCAGGCCTGTGAATTGCTAGGGACCTCTAAGTTGTACGATGATGTAGGCTTTGAGCTCAGCTGCTCAGAGCCAGGCAGGGTTCTGACTTTGTCTTGTTCACCAACTCCCCCACGCTCCCTCAGCCTCTGAAGTGAGACATAGGCAAGGGCCCAGTCAGTCTTCGTCACTGTGTCCCTATTCCTAGCACAGGGCCTGGCTAGAGAGGATGTCCACTAGTGACCTCACGGTCTTTCCACTTGCTGATTCAGCTACCTAGAGGGTAGCATGGCTCATTCCCACTTCAGGTCACCTCTCCTCAAAAAGGATCCCCCCCCAATCATCCTACTGAGAATGATGCCACATCGCCACCAGCCTGTCCTCTTGGCTGGCCTGATTTTCAACACAGCATGTGTCCCGACACAAAATTCTATTAGACAGGATATCTGCATGCAGTTTGCCATGTGTGTCTCTTCCCACCAGAAGCTTCCATGTGTTCGCAGAGCAGATCCTCAGTAAAAACTCATGAAAGCAATAATTGACCCTTTCCCCCTCCTCCATTTGTTTTTAATGCTACCCCAAACTGGCTATTTTCCCTGGGCCTTGAACACACCAAGGTAATTCCCACCCAGGACCTTTTCACACCCCCAGGTGCTGCCCGTGCATACGCAAGGGAAGTCATCCATCCCGTAAAGGCTTCAAAGCACTAGCCCTTTCTACCCAGGGTACCCCTACTCACAGGTAGGGCTCCAGGCTGCTTGAGTGATCCCACGAAAGGTCTGGCCACTGGGATGACCGGACTCTCTGAGACCCTGTGGCCAGTGCCCCTACCCACACTTAGAAGCCAGCACTGCCCACGTCCATGTGTACCAAGGGGTCAGCTGATGGCATAAACCAGGGCCTCCACAAAGACTCCCTTATCTTGGCTCCTTTTCTTGTAATCTGCTCAGAAGCAGCAGCCAGCACAGCCTGGCCAAGGCCCCTCTAATTCCTTCCTGGGGGAGTCCCCCTAAGACCACGGCTAGAATCTGGGACAACATTCCCAGCCACGGCCCTGGAATCCAAGAGTTTGAGTCTGCACCCACAATCTCCTGTCCTGACCCCTGAGATCTTGCAGGGAAGAAGTGGGGGGAGGGGGGCAGGGCTGAGCCTCAGGCCTCATCTCCTGTGTCAGAGCTGCCTGGGGACAGGGCTTTGGCAGTCTCATTGGTCATGCAAAAGCCAATCTGGGTTATAATGAGAAGTCCTGGCTTCTGTGTGCTGTCTTTGGGCCAGCCTCCTCTCCTCTTTGCCTCAGTGTCCCCGTGTGAAACGGTTGGTAGTGTTACTTTGGAATTTCATCATGTAAGAGTGATAGAATTCTGCACACAAGGGTGAGGAGCTCTGATTGGCTGATGGTGACATCACAGGCCTCTCAGGCTGTGATTGGTTGGAAGGGCTGGTTAGGCGGGGCTTCAGAGCTAGGGTAGGCGACCAGGGGCTGAGAGCCCAGTCTAAAGAGCCCTCTTGGGTGATCTGATGGGTGTGTCCAGGGGCTTGTGCTGCGGGCTCCCAGCCACCCAGAGCAGACCGCCAAGGGTGTAGATCCCCAGGGGTGCAGATCTCTAAGGGAGGCAGTTAGCATCTGAAGCTTATTTGATCCGTTACTCCCCTTCCAGACTTCTTCTAAGGCTCTGGTGGTATTTACAACTTGCTCATCTTACATTGTTAAAACCTCAGTTCTGAGCAGCTGCGTGGCTGGTCTACAGGGTGTGTATGAAACTTGCTGCTTCTCTACAATCAGCTCCTGAATTTTTTCCAAGCACTACAGGGGTTTGGGGTGTGAGTGGTTTGGGGACTGCATTTCCAAAGGTCCTGATTTACAACCCTGAGCCTTAAAATGAATCCTCTCTCCTCTCCCTTCTTTTCCCCTTCCTCTGCCCACTCTCAGTCAGACATAGTTGCTAAGTGGGCTGAGTTGCAGGTGATATTTGCATATTTTTTGCCTTTATAATATATACATATAACTGTTTCATAATGGCCTTGGTTGATTACTTTTCATTCATTTTGGGGCTAGCTCTGGAGTTTGAACTCAAGACTCTTCCTTAGTGTTTACTACTGGAGTAAACACTAAGATTGATGCTTGAGCCACATCTCCGCTTGGGGCTTTTTGGTGGTTAGTTGGACATGAGTCTCATGGACTTTCTTGTCCTAGCTGGCTTCAAACCAAAGATCCTCAGATCTTATTCTCCTGAATAGCTAGGAGCCCAGCTAATACCTACATTTTTTAAAAATTAAAGTTAAAATATGTGCCTGGTTCTATGCCTGGAGTAACTCACCTGACTGTATTTGTTATGGAGAGCCCTTGTTTGGCAAATGAGGACCTGAGTTCCAGCCTCTATACTGCCAAAACCAACCCCTCAAAAAAAAAAAAAAAAAAACTATACACACAAAAGACAACAACAATAAATCTAGAAGTTTATTTTATTAATTTTCAGCAGCTCAATCCTGTAACCCTAAATACTCAGGAGGTACAGAGCAGAAGTAGATGATCTGGCAAAAAAAAAAAAAAAAAAAAGCCAGGCGCCGGTGGCTCACGCCTGTAATCCTAGCTACTCAGGAGGCTGAGATCTGAGAATCATGGTTTAAAGCCAGCCCAGGCAGGAAAGTCTGTGAGACTCTTATCTCTAATACACTACTAGAAAACCGGAAATGATGCTGTGGTTCAAGCAGTAGAGCGCTGGCCTTGAGCTGAAGAGTGCAGGGAAAATGCCCAGGCCCAGAGTTCAAGCTCCATGACTGACAAAAAAAAAAAAAAGGTCCACAAGACTCCATCTCCATTATTGTCTGGATGCAGTGGTACACGCCTGCCATCCTAGCTGTGGGAGTAGCACAATGGCTGGGCACACAGGTGTGCACTTGTCATCCCCAGTAACACAGGAAAGCACAAGTAGATGGATCATAGCACAGGCCAGTCTTCATATGAAGGCAGCTGCCCACCAGTGTGTCAGTCAGACCCCTTTTTGCCAATGGTTTCATCAAGAAGACTCTGCCAGAGGAACCATATTATAAGAATAAGATATTGAAAAAAGAAGCAGGTGCATAAGTGTGTCTCTGTGTCCGGGTCTGTGTACTCACAACTATTCTGTCCAGTGTGTGTGTGTGTGTGTGTGTGTGTGTGTGTGTGAGTGTGTGTCCCAGGGCTAGCCACATACCTGATAAAGGATGATGATGAAAGGAGGTTAATGCCAAGAGAGTTAGTGCCAAGTAACAGGGCATGCTAGATTGGCATTATATAACCTTTTGGCTGTACGCTGGAGCCCATGATTCAGAGCTTTGGGCACTTCAGATGTACACGTATGATTTGTGTGTCGACTCTCATACTTGGCTAAGTTGGGAAAAAATAACAAGTGCAAAAAGCGGCTGGAGGCATGGCTCAAATGGAAGATCACCTTCCTGGCAAGTTCCATCTCTAGTCTGTCCCCCTCCCCCTGGGGGGGAAAAAAAAGAATTGGTAAAATCAGGTTTCTGCTTTCCCTGTAGTGTCCACGGGAGGGCGCACGTGATTAGTTGGTTCTTGCTGAGGAACCGTATAGCTGGTCAGTGTCTAGGCAAACTGAGCCGGTGTTGCAAGGTTCTGTCAGCAGCTACAGAGACACAGATACTCTGGAGTATCTAACTTCCTTTTTCCCAGAATGCCAGGATTCTAGGCACTAATAATCCAGGACCACTTACCAGAGGTTCCTGTGTCCCTGCCCCTCTCAGATGCCTTAGGAGGTCCGCAGACATATCCCATGAGCAGCTTCTATTGGCCCCACCCCAGCGCTGAGAACAGTACAAGCCACTGTCCCTCCCACCAGCTGGCAGCCCTCAGGCATATGGTAAAGCCTGAGCCAAGGACCAAATGACCCAACCTGTACTGGGACAAAGGGCTAAAAGATTGAGCCTGTAAGACTGGTATCCTGCCAGACACAGATGGCTCACACCTGTAATCCACCTATTCAGGAGGCTGAGATTTGAGGATCACAGTTTGAAGCCAGACAGGGCAGGAAAGTGAGACTCATCTTCAGGTAGCCACTAAAGCATTGGAAGTGGAGCTGTGGCTCAAGTGGTAGAGTATCCGCCTTGAGCAAAGAAGCCAAATGAGATGGAGAGGCCTTGTGTTCAAGCCCTAATACTGGCACACAAAAAGGAAGAGCTGGGCACTGGTGCACTCCTAGCTAGGCTATAATCCTAGGGCTGAGATCTGAGAATCACGGTTTGAAGCCAGCCCAGGCAGGAAAGTCCATGAGACTTTTCTCTCGAATAAACTTCTCAGAAGAAGAGGTAAGTGGTGCTATGCTTCAAGTGGTAGAGCACTAGACTTGAACACAAAAAGGCTCAGGGACAGTGCCCGGGCCCAGAGTTCAAGCCCTAGGACTGGTGCGAAAGGAAGAAGAAAGAAAGAGAGAGAGAATGGTACCTAATTCACAGTGACCTTCAGTTTCTGTTCTACAAAGTAATTGTTCAGCCAAACATCCCTGGTGCCAGAACAGAACTATTCTCACTCCTGCCTCCAAGAATCCATAGTCAAATGAAAGCCAGGAAAATACTTAAATACCTCAAACACAGAATGACAGAGCCTAAGATCTGTGCCAAATTCATAGAGGTCAATGAAACTTTTACAGAGAAAGGAGCATTGGAACTGGGTCCTTGAAGCATGAATAGGAGTCTGCCAAAGTTCAAAGTCTTCCTTGGCTAATGTTGCAGAGCTATCAATGACTTGGGGCTGAAACCTCAATCTTCTCATTCTTGGGTTCAGTGCCTTTTTATTCCCCCTTAGACTTCTGCAGCA